TCTCTCTGCACAATGTGAGGAAGCTCGAACAATAGGAAGGTTGAACTTTGCAAGTCTGCTTATTACAATTGTTACTGCATGTATGCTCCTCAGTGCAAGTGGCTGTGTAGGAGGTGGATTCACCAAGAACGTCCCCTACAGATACACATGTCACCAAAATACAGCTGTAGCCTAGCTGTACTACTTTGCCGTGCTAACATGTCGCCATCAGGGAGGAGTCAAGCTAAATAGATACACTCAACTACCACTCTTGCTGTACATGCTTGGTTGCAAGCACTCTGATTGATAAATCACTCGTGGGAGATTATAACAGGGAAAGTACATCTACCTGTAAACACTGCGACTAGGCCTACTAGTTTATTTTGAGTCGAAAATACAAAGAATCACGAAATTGTAAGGTCCAGGTTTAGGAAGCAGCCCCATTGTATGGGGCACAGAACATTACTTTCACAAATCTACTCCATATCGTTACATTTCCAACGACACACTGTTATAAACATTACATTGTGTTGAAAACTGCCACTTATCACCCATATATTGGTAATTGCAGTAGAAATCCATTGAAGTTTAGAGATTCACTTCCGCCACACCCTTCGAATGATTCGTCATATCCCCTGGCAAATTTCTCGCATACGGCCTCTAAGAAACGCTCAAACCATAATTTCGCACACACATATCTTACCCTGTGCCATTGTCAATCACAACAGCTGGTAACCTGACATTCTGTACACTGAAGATGTAGATCTTGATCTACACACTCACGACATAAAGCGCACGGTGTCGTACCGGAAGTAGCTTGATGACGTATTCGTGCGATTGTTAATTTTGTTCCCGACCTGGTGTTCTTGGGCATTACTGATTTGGGAGCTGGCAAACGTTTTAAACACAAAAAAGAAAATGCCCGTTTGGAGCCACACGGGTCTACATTTCCAATTGAGTATGTGAAATACTGTCTGTTGACATACCATAGCCTATGACATTGGTGATCAAAGTGACAGGGAGGAGCGATAGGTTAGGCTCAACTTGTTTCAGTGACATCAGAATAGATTATGTACAGTGACACGACAGAGGGTTAGGGTTGAACCAGTTATATATAATGTACACTGACACGGCAGAGGGTTAGGTTGAACCAGTTATATATAATGTACAGTGACACGGTAGAGGGTTAGGTTGAACCAGTTATATATAATGTACAGTGACACGGCAGAGGTTAGGTTGAACCAGTTATATATAATGTACAGTGACACGGCAGAGGGTTAGGTTGAACCAGTTATAGAATGTACAGTGACTCGGTAGAGGGTTAGGTTGAACCAGTTATATATAATGTACAGTGACACGGTAGAGGGTTAGGATTGAACCAGTTATATATAATGTACAGTGACTCGGTAGAGGGTTAGGTTGAACCAGTTATATATAATGTACAGTGACACGGTAGAGGTTAGGTTGAACCAGTTATAGAATGTACAGTGACCGTCGGTAGAGGGTTAGGTTGAACCAGTTATATATAATGTACAGTGACACGGTAGAGGTTAGGGTTGAACCAGCTATATAATGTACAGTGACTCGGTAGAGGGTTAGGGTTGAACCAGTTATGTCAGGGGCGGATACAGCTTTTGAGGAGGGGTGGGTGAGGTGAGGTGGGTGGGTGGGTTGCTCAGTTCATTTTCACCCGTTTTCACGTGAGTTTCAATGGTCATTTAATAAACCTACATGACAAAACAAAAAAGTGTATGTGTGTGTGTGGGGCAACCATGCACCCCCTCTGGTTCCGCCTAGATGTATGTACAGTGACACGGGAAGAGGGTTAGGTTGAACCAGTTATGTACAGCGACACAGTGAAACATTCGCGGAAACATGACGTGCCACCAGGAAGTATTGGCTGCCGAAGTGACGTCATCACACTGATAAATCGTTTTCCTCCGGAACTACTATTAGTTTGTTACTATTGATGGCGAAGGAAAGTAACCTGTTTCGTTGATGATTGTAATATATACCAGAACACGTGTTCAGTCTGCCATACCATCTGTGTGCCATATAGTTCATTCAATATTAAAATATTAGGACATTAACGAACACACACAAGAGGCAATGGCTGATCTCCCGCTAGCTATTTTTATAAGTCGCGAGCACGACAACAACCTGTATGTTTGAGGAAGGTAATTGTACCTCGTGGATGTAAATTGGCTGTTATGTTATCCGGGTTTGTAAGGAACAGCTCCACGCCCCAAATCTGATCGAAGTCACCCTGAAACTTGCACGAATTTTGTCCCCGCCCTGCCGCGCATTTCGTCGTGGCAATGCGTGTATAATTTTAGATGGTATGCATGGAAGCATGAAGACTAGTTTGCGCACTGTTCGCGTCCTGTTTACGCATAAGTTACGCACTTGGCACGCAATGCGTGGCCATAAATGGTGCGCATTGGCACGCATTGGCACGCTATCGCACAACTTATTTACGACTAGGTCAAGTATTGTTGGTGTATTGTTTACGTCTAGTGTACGGCATGGTACGCACGACGCGCATAGTTCCAGCATGGGCATGCATTGCCACAACCGCTTCGAGCATGCGTGAAGCAGTCCCGCTTTGTGCCGCTTGACTCCATGCTATATAAATAGCAGGCATCACCCAAGCTTCGTGCATTGCTGTGGACCTACAAGATGCTGAACACCAGAGAACAAGCTCAGATTGCAGAAAAGAAAATATATAAAAAAGAAAGTGTCTATATCTCGCCGGTGCAGCACTGTTACTTTTTTTAATAATTTTATTGTTTCTAAAGATGTTTTACAGTCTATTCCGAAAACTCAACAAAGGACATTCTGGTTACAATACAATACAAGCATATGATGTACAAATCATGTGAACAGTTCATGACATGAATACCAGAACTTATAAAAGGCGCTGATATTACACTCCATTAAAGAAGAGCACTTTGTTATCATATAATAATGTCTAATTTCATTCTGGAAAACATGGAAAGGTGGTACACTGTTTTTTAATCTGCTTCCAAAAATTAGGTTTTTAAAGATAATAATAATAATATTGAGAGGGTCATTGTTTTGTCTGGGAAACCGAGCAATACCTGTTTTCTTGATACTTTGATATTGACAAGAGTTTTATGATTTAGCCAGACTTCAAGTTTTTGCCAGATATGGTTGACTTTACTGCAAGACCAGAACACGTGATCGAGTGTCTCAATTTCGTTTTGGCAAAAGCTGCATTTTGAATTATTTATATACCCAATCTTAAATAACTTTATATTTGTCGGTAAGATGTGATGTAATATTCTATATTGGAACCATTGCAGTTTACTGTCTGTTATAATAATTTTTCCAGTCGTCAGACAAGACTTCGTTGTTTAAGATACTTTGCTCCCATTTTTGGCAATGTAAATTTTTTGTAGTGACATCTGACAACAATGTTCTGTAAAACCGTTGTGTCCCCTTTGCATCCCTGAGGAGCTGTTTTATATTTGCTGGTAAAGTTGGGTTTGGTATTTTTGACAAAGTCTTAAAATCTATGTTAAGTGTTTTCAAATATGACTTTACAGATCTAATGAGGCCAGTAAATGTTAGAAAATCAGTTTTAAATGATAGTGTTTTACAAAAAATTTCAAAGCAGTATATGTTATCATTTAAGTCAAGTAAATCGTTGATACACCGAATTCCTTTATCATACCATTGTTTGTAAAGAAATGGTTTACATCCTACACATATGTTTTGTTGTACCAGAGATTTTCGGCAAGTATATCATTTACGTCATAGTCAGTTTCATTCCGAGATATAAATTGCCACCAGGCACATAAAACATCCCTATAACATTTATTGTGGATCAGTGGGAGACATTCTTCTGACAGATATTGGCAGTTATAATCGAATACATAACCAGCGCCAAACATTTGGAGATTTGAAATAAATAGATAGCACCAACTGGACTTACATCTGAAAACCTTCTGACCATTGATAGTTTCTGAGCATGCATTAATGTCTTTATATTTGGCATGTTGAAGCCTCCATCTTGTTTGTCACAGATAATTTGGCTTCTCTAAATTCTATCAGGTTTATTGTTCCAGATAAATTTAAAACATTTCTGTTGAAATTTATTTGTAGTTTCATTATCTGGGTCAGGAAGTGCACTGAATAAATGATTTAATTTTGGGATGATCAAAGATTTTAAGACAAAATTTCTTCCAAAGGGTGTGAGATTACGTGCGGACCATATGGACATTAGTGTTTCACAACTTCTTATCTTTTCTTTGTAATTTATCTCTACCATATCGTCTAAGTCTTGAGTGAATGTAATTCCAAGAAGACTAAAGTCACCCTGGTCCCAATTAAGATTTAGCTCCGAACATGGTTTCATTTTCGATCTTTCTTTGATCCTGTCCAAATGAGACGTGTTTTTTGTCGATGTTAACCTTTGTACCTGAAAATCTGTCGAAGAAACTAAGCACATTAAATACTGCATAGAGACAACGTTCTGAACCATCCAGGGTGCATGTTGTGTCGTCAGCGAATTGATTGAGTAAGTATTCAATGCTTCCAATTGAAATACCCTAAAAAGCACTATTACTTCTTGAAGACCAGGGGCGGTGGGGTAGCCTAGTGGTTAAAGCGTTGGCTCGTCACGTCGAAGACCCGGGTTCGATTCCCCACATGGGCACAATGTGTTTAAGCCCGTTTTCTGGTGTCCCCGCCGTGATATTGCTGGAATATTGCTAAAAGCGGCGTAAAACTAAACTCGGTCAGTCTTGAAGACCAGCAATTACAGCAAGAGCAGGCCAAAGAAGAAGACGTAACCCCAACTTGAAAAGGAAAGCAAGGACAGTGTGGGTGAGGGAATGGTTGACTAGAAGATATCACTTCGGACATTATGATCAGTTATTGACAGAACTCCACAAGGAAGATCCAAGAGGCTACAGAAATTACCTGAGAATTTTCCCGGCTTGTTCCAAGACATTGTGGAAAAGTTAAAACCTCATCTTGAGAAGAAGACCACATTCATGAGAGAACCGCTGGAGGTGGGACTCAAGCTGACAACCACTCTTCGCTTCCTAGCCACTGGTAAATCCTGTGCAAGTCTACAGTACAGCTTCAGAGTTGAAGCTACTACAATCGGCAAGTTCTTACCAGAGGTTTGCAAAGCCATCCTTGAGGTTTATAAGGACGAAGTACTCAGGTGCTCCAAAACTGAAGAGGAGTGGAAGGAGGTTGCTGAAGGTTTTAGTTTTAGATGGAACTACCACAACTGTCTGGGGGCTGTGGACGGCAAGCATGCTACTATGAAGAAGCTACCCAAAGCTGAATCATTCTACTACAATTATATTAAAGGCTTCCGCAGCATTGTACTCATGGCCCATGTAGATGCTGGATGCATGAAGTTCTTGTATGTTGATGTTGGGGCGGAGGGTGGTGCTTCAGATGGAGGGACATGGAAGAACTGTACTTTACACAAAGCTGTCGAAGACAACCGAGCCGGACTACCTGTATCAGCTCCACTCCCTAATAATGACAAGTCTGTGCCATATCATTTCGTAGCCTATGACGCATTTGCACTCAGAACTTGGCTGATGAAACCATTCTCTCATCGCTCCCAGATGCACCGAAATATCAGCTACAGCTACAGGTTGTCTCGTGCTCGTCGTGTGGTGGAGAATGCGTTTGGAATCTTGTCTCAAATGTCTGTCTCTGTTTCTTGTCCGGTCTCTTCTTCCAGTCTCCTATCCACTGCTGGTCCTGCTCTTCCTCTGGTTGTATTCTTCTTCTTGGCAGGCATCTTGTTGACTGTTCGCTGTCGAGTTAAGGAACGTGGGGACTGGCGATGGGCACTTTTTATGAGCGCGGTCGTCGCTGATTCGTGCGCCAACAATGCGTGAAGTAGGCGTGCTCAATGCGTATCAATTTCGGAACATGCTCAAACCCGTCAAACGTGAACAATTTGTGACAATACAGAAACCCGCCCGCCCACTTCACCACAAGTTAGAGGGCGTGAACTTTGGCCCAATCTGTCGCGACCTTTTCCGACCCCTGATCAAAGCGGGCCAATGCGTGACACTTCGTGTCAATGCGCACCGCCCGCAGTGTTTGAAAGTAGGTTGCACAATGTTCACGACTAGTTCACGCTAGTTGCACAAAGATTATGGGTACCAGAAGTTTTGAACATTTCAAAATGCTCTTTGCGCACTGGTACGCAGCCCGGCACAGTTTATGCACACTTCACATCAGTTTACGCGTAATTTACTCATTGGCACGCCAAATTACGTACCAGTGCGGGGAAAAAATTCGTGCAAGTGTAAGGGGCTTAAAACTTGTAGGAGTGAGCGACAGCGATTTTCGAGTAATTGTATAGGTCTTACCATGTTTAAAAAAGTCATTCCACATTACATGGAGTTTTGTTTGCCAATTGACACAGTGACAGTTCGTCATGCTACCAAAAGTCAGTGTCGACCTGACAATGGAATCCTCTATAATGTGTATAATCTGTGCAGCAGATAACCGCATCGGGGTGAAGGGTTTGGCTGTACACCGGAACTGGTGTTAGCACCTCCGTGATCTACCTGATTATAACCTTTCTCTGTAAAACAATTTGCTCGCTTGGTTAGAGGGATAGTTCGATATCAATGCAGCCCTCTGATATCAGTTAAACATTTATTAACCTACATTAAGGATACAGGAATCTCCGATCTTCAAAGTTGTAAATATTTGCTGTTGCACTCATATTCAAAATACCTGCATGGTATTAAATGTCCGCTTCCCAGATGCCTTAATACTGAAATATCATGCTGGTAATGATACTGAGAGTATACCGGTGAAGGGACTTGACTATAGCAACTATGTTTGCTTCAACTACAATGAAATGTAACATCATGAAGTGATATATTTACACCTGTGATGTATCAGGTGAATTTGACCGCCCTAGCAAAGACGGTGAAAACACGAGCGAAACACTTTATATTGATATAATATGATAGAATAAGAGAAAACAGGCAAATGGGCTTCACTTTAAGGGACGAGATAGGTAAAGCACGAGTATGATGAACTGCTTTTGTTATCCAATACACTGATACAAGGTTGATATAAACAGTGTATATACCTAAATTCATTCCAGGATACATCAAATACGTTTCAAGACAGTCTGACCACCCAGGTCAAGTCGAATACAAAATGACCGAACGTTCGTCACACAAACTGCTTGACTTTAAAGGACGGTAATAGAAAGGGGTACATGAAATAATAAATGAGTTATTGTTCATTGATGCCACGCATGTATGCTCACTAGGATTGGGTATTGCCAAAATTTTCGTATTGTGATATATTGTGATATGTGTTGACGTATTGCAATATGTAGTGCAATATATTGTGAAAGTGTAACACATGGTTTAAGGTAATGAAATTACTGTTTCCTTTCTTTTGAAACAATGCTACTGGCCATTGTCAGGACTCAGTTGTGATTGTACAAGAGATCAATTGAAAATGTTTCCAAATTGGAGACTTCGTCCTAAAGTTTGGAACTCGAGAAAAAGCGTCTGCAGCGGCGTCCGCCGTTTTCGTTTGTTTATATATCCCTACAACGAGTGCCTGTACCAAGCTATTGTTATAGTTATATGGTTTAAAAAGTCATGCATATGACCAATAAACATTCTCAAAACTGTTAATGTATAATAATATAAAAAGAAATACAAATGTTATTAGTATTTTGACTACATCACGAAAATTACCGATCATGGTCGCGGAAATTGCCGATCGTATCGGGTGAACCGGTTCGCGAAAAGTGTACCGCAATATATCGTATTGTGAAGTTCGAATTGCAATATACCGGTTAACCGGTTTTATCACCCACCCCTAATGATCAGTGATAATGGAGTGGAAAATAATTCCTAAGGTGAACTGAGTGGAAAATAAATCTTGCCCAATGTGACTTGTATCAGTATATCACGTGCAATACAGAGTATCACAAACAATGTAGAGGACATTACAAGCAGTGTAGAGTATATCACATACTATATACAGCATGTCACATGTAGTATACAGTATATCACTTGTAATGTCCATTATATCACTTACACGGTAGACTGACTGACTGAGTTTGGTTTTACGCCGCTTTTTAGCAATATTCCAGCAACATCTCGGCGGGGACACCAGAAATGGGTTTCACACATTGTACCCATGTGGGGAATCGAACCCGGGTCCTCGGCGTGACGAGCCAACGCTTTAACCACTAGGCTACCCCACCGCCCTCTTACACGGTAGAGTACATCACAGGTAGTGTACAATATGTCACATGCAATATCCGGTATATCACTTGTAATGTCCATTATATCACTTACACGGTAGAGTACATCACAGGTAGTGTACAATATATCACATGCAATATCCGGTATATCACTTGTAATGTCCATTATATCACTTACACGGTAGAGTACATCACAAGTAGTGTACAATATGTCACATGCAATATCCGGTATATCACTTGTAATGTCCATTATATCACTTACACGGTAGAGTACATCACAGGTAGTGTACAGTATATCACATGTAGTATACAGTATATCACTTGTAATGTCCATTATATCACTTACAAGGTAGAAATTACATCACAGGTAGTTTACAATATGTCACATGCAATATCCGGTATATCACTTGTAATGTCCATTATATCACTTACACGGTAGAGTACATCACAAGTAGTGTACAATATGTCACATGCAATATCCGGTATATCACTTGTAATGTCCATTATATCACTTACACGGTAGAGTACATCACAGGTAGTGTACAATATATCACATGTAGTATACAATTATATCACTTGTAATGTCCATTATATATCACTTACACGGTAGAGTACAACACAAGTAGTGTACAATATATCACATGTAGTATACAGTTCACTTGTAATGTCCATTATATCACTTACACGGTAGAGTACATCACAAGTAGTGTACAATATATCACATGTAGTATACAGTATATCACTTGTAATGTCCATTATATATCACTTACACGGTAGAGTACATCACAAGTAGTGTACAATATATCACATGCAATATCCGGTATATCACTTGTAATTTCCATTATATCACTTACACGGTAGAGTACATCACAAGTAGTGTACAATATATCACATGTAGTATACAGTATATCACTTGTAATGTCCATTATATCTCTTACACGGTAGAGTACATCACAAGTAGTGTACAATATATCACAAGTAGTATACAGTATATCACTTGTAATTTCCATTATATCACTTACACGGTAGAGTACATCACAGGTAGTGTACAATATATCACATGCAATATCCAGTATATCACTTGTAATGTCCATTATATCACTTACACGGTAGAGTACATCACAGGTAGTGTACAATATATCACATGTAGTATACAGTATATCACTTGTAATGTCCATTATATCACTTACACGGTAGAGTACATCACAGGTAGTGTACAATATATCACATGCAATATCCGGTATATCACTTGTAATGTCCATTATATCACTTACAAGGTAGAGTACATCAAAGGTATTTTAAAATATGTCACATGCAATATCCGGTATATCACTTGTAATGTCCATTATATCACTTACACGGTAGAGTACATCACAGGTAGTGTACAATATATCACATGTAGTATACAGTATATCACTTGTAATGTCCATTATATATCACTTACACGGTAGAGTACATCACAAGTAGTGTACAATATATCACATGTAGTATACAGTATATCACTTGTAATGTCCATTATATCACTTACACGGTAGAGTATATCACAAGTAGTGTACAATATATCACATGTAGTATACAGTATATCACTTGTAATGTCCATTATATCACTTACACGGTAGAGTACATCACAGGTAGTGTACGATATATCACACGCAATATCCGGTATATCACTTGTAATGTCCATTATATCACTTACACGGTAGAGTACATCACAGGTAGTGTACAATATGTCACATGCAATATCCGGTATATCACTTGTAATGTCCATTATATCACTTACACTGTAGAGCACATCACAGGTAACAGTAAATCACATGCAATATCCGGTATATCACTTGTAATGTCCATTATATCACTTACACGGTAGAGTACATCACAGGTAGTGTACAATATGTCACCTGCAATATCCGGTATATCACTTGTAATGTCCATTATATCACTTACATGGTAGAGTACATCACAAGTAGTGTACAATATGTCACCTGCAATATCCGGTATATCACTTGTAATGTCCATTATATCACTTACACGGTAGAGTACATCACAAGTATTGTACAATATATCACATGCAATATCCGGTATATCACTTGTAATGTCCATTATATCACTTACACGGTAGAGTACATCACAAGTAGTGTACAATATGTCACCTGCAATATCCGGTATATCACTTGTAATTTCCATTATATCACTTACATGGTAGAGTACATCACAGGTAGTGTACAATAAGTCACATGTGGTATACAATTATATCAATTGTAATGTCCATTATATCACTTTACACTGTAGAGTACATCACAAAGTAGTGTACAATATATCACACGCAATATCCAGTATATCACTTGTAATGTCCATTATATCACTTACACGGTAGAGTACATCACAGGTAGTGTACAGTATATCACATGCAATATCCGGTATATCAACTTTGTAATTTCCATTATATCACTTACACGGTAGAGAGTACATCACAAGGTAGTGTACAATAAATCACATGTAGTATACAGTATATCACTTGTAATGTCCATTATATCAATTTACACGGTAGAGTATATCACAAAGTAAGTGTACAATATATCACATGTAGTATACAGTATATCACTTGTAATGTCCATTATATCACTTACACGGTAGGAGTACATC